CATGAAAGAGTTTTGTTTATTAACCTGACGTGTATTGTGTATGCTCTACAGTTTAAAATAATGTATAGCATTTACACTACACTATTATTATGAAATGGAAATGAGTTTCTTTACATGACTATTCCTTTTTTTTCTCCTTGGTGTATTAGATACTTTTATCTCATACCTTGGTATTTCCAGGTAATAAAGTATTTAGTTAATAGGATGGAAGGGATTATGTAATTCAAACCTCCTTTTTTTATATACAACTCGGAAGTGACCTGCATGAATTTATTTCATTTGGAAAAAAAATCGTAACTAATCTGTTTCTTTTTAACCTGTGTCCAAGTGTCAAAGCCTTTTTATTCCTGTTTTAGTATGGTAATCAGAACTTACATCATCTGTGATTGCTACAATTTGCCAATTCAGCATTACAAAAATATGAATGCTTGATGGTATTCTAACATTGCATGCTTTATCAGTGCATATGGTTTTCTTGAAAGCAGGGTCTGAAGTAATCTGTAAGTAATCTTTATTTTTCCTTTTTCTTATGGTAATCTGATAGTGTTAGTAGATTATTAATACATATGTTCAAAATATCTGTGCATGATTTCAGTTTGTAAGATGCTAATCTTGTGTTACAGAAGTCAAGAAGATTTCAGCAGATAAAGCAAAAGGTTTGGTTCTAGTTATCAAATTATCTCTTCTAGATTACTGTTTTACATTTATTTGGTAAATACAGCTGTGTAGAAGAGCACAAATTTATATTTTAGATTATTATTCTCTATTAGAATATTCCTTTAGAAGTTTCAGTACAATCTGCTCATAATCTCTGAAAGATACAGAATAAGTAGTGAGACAACCTTTTGATTTTATCTTTGCTAAAGTTTAGTGATGATCATGCCTCTTAGTATAAACAGAGTTTAATTTCTTTTTAAGCAATGGTATATAGATGAGGGAATAATTCTGTAATCCTTATGAGGTTGCTTAAAGACAATTGGCAAAAAATAAGCAGTAATGACATTAGTGGGTGGTGCAAAAAAAGAAAGGAAGATTATTTCAAAACTTGCATACTATATATCACATGTATTGTAGTAATGTATAGAAAAAAAACTGAAAATACTTTTTTTCCACATGCAAATGCATTCTGACAGTTGATGTGAGCAGATAGACTTTGATAAAAGGCACTGAATTGGTGTACAGCACTGTATGATTTGACATTTTTTTTTAGTTTGCATTTATATGCATTATTCCTCTTAATTTAAAGCAATAAGGGCACAATTCTTTTGGCTTGTAGATTCACAGTCCTTGTATCCCCATTATAATGATAAGGAAACCAAGAAGGGAAGTGGTCATTGGTCATGATCTGCACTTGCTGATTGCACACTGTATGGCAGAATCCACATCAGGAGATTTCATTTGATGCTCCACTAAAAAAGAAAATTCATCTTTAATTTAATTAATTTTTTCCACCCTAACCTGCCTGTTAAGTTTCTTGATCAGTCAGTACAAGGTTGGATCTTAGTTTTCAGTTTCCTTTGCTTATCTACAATTCCTTTTCTCCATTTTTTCTTATTCTCTTCCCTTTTCATCTCATTATCTCCCTTTTTCTTTCTCTTTTTCCTTCTCTTTTTCCCTTCTCTATTTCCCACCTTTTGCTAGCTTTTCTCCTCTGTCAGTTTCTAATTCCTTCTTTCACACTTCCTTTTACTACCTTAGTTTGCCTTATCTTCATTTTTTTTTTCTTCCATTTTATTAAAACCCTTTCCCTTTCTTTGCCCTCCTCTTCCTCTGTTTATTTTATTTGACTTTCAGTTTGTTCTGGTTTGATCTTTTACTTTTCATTTCCCTCCTGGTGCCATACCAAATCACACATTACTCAGCTGCTTAAGGGAAAAATTAGAAATACCGGCAACAATTATTTACCCTGCTTTCTACGGTCAGGGCTTGTTTTACGAATTAATGTTTTTGTAATGAGGCAGTAATGTTTCTTTAAAGCCTACCTTTGAAGGGCTATTTCTCTTCAATGACTGTAGCAGCACAAGTCAAGCTGTACTGCACATGGTACAATGGGATGTCATCCCAACATGAGTAACAGTCTAACCCACTCACGGCAGTGAGTAGGTTAATAGTTGCCAGTTAGTGAGAAAACCCAGGGGTAGTATAAGCACTATTGCATATACTATGACAGGTGACCCAGTCTCCCCTTCCTTGCTTCTCACAAGGATGGTAGTGTCTTGCAATGGAGGAAACATTACTCTGAACTGGATGCAAATGTGGGCAGTCATAATGAAATGTCAATGCATTACCAATATGCTAACTGCTCCTCTTCTTCCTTTCCTCTCTTCCCTTCCCTTCCCTACCTACCCTTCCCTTCCCATCCATTCCCTTCCCTTTTCTTCCCATCCCTTTCCTTCTCTCTTCTCTTCCATACCCATTCTTTCCCTACCCTACCTTCCCTGCATTTCTCTCTTGAGATAAATGGTTCTTAAACTTTTTACCACTATGTAGTTCATAGTTATTGGTTCTTAACCTTTTTATCACCATTCACTTCCTAGTAGTTGTTTTGATGATATAGGAATTCTGTCTAAGCTAAACTCTCATGCAAAGCAACACATAGTAAAAGAATCCCAAAAATAATTACTGAAATTCTTAGTGTTTTCTCAAGGGTCATGACCTCCCATGGGAGGTAAGTCCCATACCATTGCCTTAGATATCCATCCTTTGTGGTTACCCAAGATACATACAATTTATAGAGATATTCTGCCTTATAATGTCATATTGGGAACAGCACTAATTGTGGGAATTCATTTGCACATACATACAGTATTTTCTTCTTCCTTGTAGACCGAATTATGTTAAAGATGTTTGATATGTTACTAGTAATTGGATATTCAGTTTTAAAGAGAAAGTAATAGAACCTAAATCAAAGCCTATTTAACTAATGCTTTCTAATGCTGTAGATTATCGTAATTACCAGTGTATAAAGATTTGAAGGGAAAACAATGATTCACACCCAATTTTACTGTTCTCTATCATGTGGACTACAAGGATCTTTTCTAATATTGGTTTTATTGCAGTTGTTGGAAGTATGGAGAACATGAATAGAAGTGACAGTCGATCTTCCCTTGGTAATTCACGTTCTAGCAGCACCCAAGATGTTACACGAGGAGATGAACCTGGAACAAGGTAGGATCAGCAGTGAAAAGAAAAGGCTCATAGTGCAAATTTTTTGTAGCTTCTAAGAGGCTCATTAAGTAGCTTTTGTCAGTCTGATTTTTTTTTCTTTTTCTTTTATGGAGGCTGTTATGTAGTTTCTCTGCAGTTGTGAAGATTGTGAGAAGTTCGTATATTTTTACAGCTGTCCTTTGTTTTTTTGAGCAAGAAAAAAAAAATTACTTTTTCAATCCTTTCAGTCTGTTTATCATATTAAATTAAATAGTATTAATGCGTATGTTGATGTGACAGGTTCCCAGAAATAAAGGCTTTGCGTCTTGAGAAGAAATCAAGAGAAGATGGTGATGAAACTGAAGGAAAAAAGAGACGAGGCAAAGTTGGAGGACTTAAATCCAAACTCTTTGGAGGAAGTAAGTATAATTTTTTTTTTTTTTTTTTATGAATTACATGATAGATTTCATAAAATTGTTTGGAAATCAGTTGTTGGAAGTATGGTATTTATTCTTGAGTTGATTTACACTTTAAAGTAAAAAACAAAAAACAAAACAAAAACAGAAAGATAGGATATTACTATAATATGACTGTAAGAAGTTGCTTTGCCTGTGATTTTCAATGAAAAAAAAAATTCTATCGTATTGTCTCCGTACCTTAGATAGTCGAGAACGCATTGGAGAAGAAGATGGACGGTTTGTTGAAGGAGGAAACGATCGTCTTCCACATCCTCCAACACATCAGTCACGTTTGCCTCAAGAGATTCACGATAAATTTGCTGGGAAGTCACGAGAGGTTTGTGTCATTGAAAGGGACTATTTTTTTTTTTTATTATTATTTCAGAGAGTTTTATGTTTTTTGTGGGAGCTTTTACTTGGTCATTTATTTTTTCTGGTAATATTGGTGTTATTTTTTTATTTATATATATATATATATATATTTTTTTTTTTCAGTAGATAGGATATTTTATTACCCATGTTTCATATCTTTCTACAGGATTTACTTGAGATGATTGTGAACCTGCAAGCATCAATAGAAAAGAATGCTCGCCACACTAGGGATCTCGAAGACTATATTGATGGTCTTCTTTTGCGAGTGATGGAAACCACACCAAACCTTCTACAAGCACCCATCACTAAGGGCAAAAAATTAAAGTAATGCATTTTTCTTTTTTTCTTTTTTTTCTAAGCAAATATATGAATTTCAACATATATGATATAACACAGATGACAGAGAAGGATCAGTATTTCTGAATTCTTGCTTATAAAACTTTGAATAATACATATTTATTTAATGTATATTTTTTTACTGAAAAACAGTGCTGTGATATCAATAAGTTTACAGAATACATTAAAAGCAAGCAAGATCAAGTTAGTTTGTAGTATGACGTAGATCACCTATAGATAAATGGTGACCTGCTTACCATATAAGATTTATCATTTCCAGCAGGCATAGTTTGTGTTAAGTTTGAGAAGGTAAATATGTTTTATGTTGGTGGACTGGAAAGTAATGAGGAGGCTGATTATTTATGTAAGCATTGGTACATAGGCTAATGCTTTTCTGCCAGGGGTAGTTTCAGTAATTTAGTTGATAAAGGGACTTTGAATGGTATTATGATTAAATTTATATTCCTTTAATTAGATCTGAGAATTTTTAATCCGTTGGGTTTCATTATATGGTAATGTACATACAGTGGCTAGTTATTATTTGTACAAAGTGAAAAGAAACTGTTCTAGTGTACATTTATATCATGTACATCTATATGACTGTATTAAATGGAAGATACATTTGCTACTTCTCAGCAACTAATAAAGACAGCAAAAACAGTACTGGTCAAGAAAACACTACAAAGTAAGTGTTGCTGATAATAGCATGCTTTGATGTGTGATTGATTGAGTTCATACCAAGTATGGCTTGAGTTTTTCATCATCAGACTGAAAAAAAGAAAAAAACTATGTACTATTTATTATGAATAGCTCAAAAAGGTTTAAAAGCATTCCAGGACTTGATCTCAATTTTCTCTGTTGTGTACAAAACCTCTTTTCATGTAGTATATACCTTATTTTAGCTTATATTGTCAAGTATTGTTCATGCTTTTCATTGTAAATGCACCCTTTCCAATTCAATGCTTGAAGCTCACTTTTATTTTCTGTTTGAAAGAATCTGAAAAAAAATATAAGATTCCTCTTGCTGAACATTATTGCATTTGATGTATTGCATGATTCAACATAGCAAAGATACCTTATCATGTGCCTGACATTATGCATACACATTGAATATGCTTTTCTGGTATATGAACATGTATGCAAAGTAGCAATATATATGAATGAAGATCCTGCAGTATGATGAATTGTATTTTCTTTTCTTTTCCATTCTATATTGTTTTTACTATAAAGCCAATGCAGGTATGGTTATTTATGATATATACAGTGAACTCTCTAATGGCAATACAAAAGTTGCAGTGTCTCTTTAGCTTACTATTACCAGTTGCATCTACAACAATTTAGCATATTTTCAAACTTGATATCTCCTTTTCAGAGTGTTTGGCCGCTCCTAAAGAAGCTTGACAGGAAATTCCATCCAGGACATACTTCCCAGGCACCTCACTGTTTGCCTGGTTTTGCATCATCAAGCAGTTTAAGATTTTCCTTTGGGCTTCCAGTATCACAGAACTATTGTGTAAATATATTGGGCACTGTTTAACTGCAAAATTTTTGTTTCGTTTGTTTCAGGAACTTTTAGTGTGGGGTAACATCTATGCAGTTTTATATAAATAGGAAATAAAAGATGAGGATTTTTTTGTTACAAACCTATGACTTTCAAAATGTAAATATTATAGGATGTTCTTTTTGTCACTTTTCAGAACTGTACATGAAAGAGAATATCAATGTATTGTTTTCTCACTATAATGGGAGCATAACAGAAAATATACTACATTATAAGATAATTAACAGGATGTTTGTAATTAATTAAAAAAATAATTCACTGTAAACAGTCCTTTGATTTTGATGTCAATAGAGAGTAAGAAAATATGTATTTATTCAGGTTGTGAGAGCATTTTTTACTCTCTTCACCCAAGTCTCCAGAAAGCAGTAAAATCTGTGGCATTAGATCTTAACAGAGATAAGACTTTTCTCTTTATTCATATTCATCTGGTTCAGAGTATATGAAAGAGGGTTGCTGATTGTTACTTAAACCAGAAGTTTTTTGCTTTGGTCCATGAAATTGTTTTTATAGTAAGAAGTTATTTTGGATAAACTTGGTATGACAACTAAATGTAAGTAATAGTATATTTCTCTTGTATGATCATTAAAATTCACTTTGTAATCTCTTCATTGGACTTGCAGTATTTAGCCAGTGCCAAAAAATTAAAGCAAGTTAAATATGCAAGCCTCTATTGCTTGTGTATGACTTTGTGAGAGATATTATGCAGTCCTTTCTTACAGTTATAATGTTATTTATCTTTATAAGATCATGATTTTTATGATCCTTCTCTTTTTACTATCTAAATGTGGCTTCTTAACAAAACAGTTGGATGTTGTTACTTGTACTTTGAAGTTATATTTTGTTTCACTTTGTCTTCAGTTTATTTCATTGTTTCTTATGCATTATATGTCATTTTGAGGAGGCAGTACAGTTGGTATGACAAAAGGCACATTGTTTTTTGAAATTCAAAGTAAGAGACCATTCATTTTGATAATTGTGGACTTCCATTTTTAATTTTGAAGAATTGTAAATGTTAGTGTTAAGCTGTTATCTGAGGAATAAGTGTTTTAATGTATGGCAGATGTACTGTTCTCTTGGAATATGGAAAATGTTCCATCTATTTAATTTAATTCACTAAAGGTTTGTGATTATTTAGGAACTGAGGAATTAGTGTGTGTGCAAATGCTAATTTTGAAACCATTATTTTTTTTCTAATGTTAAATTTCATGAAATAGATTTCCTTTCTCTTTTGTTCGTTTGTTTTGAGGCCAGAGGTAAAATAACTGCATTGTGCATAAAACTGTTTCATTTTCTGCAACATTCCCTTTGGTTTTCTACTTGTTTAACTGTCTAGCAGTGTTATGTACTTACACTTGTAAGGGGTATTTTCTTGCATTTCCTTTCATATAATGCTTTAGTGTATATTGTGTATTACAAAGCTTTACAAGAGTCCATAACTATGTTGGAGTGTCAGATGGATTGAGACTCCTAGTTTTGTGACAAAGTTGTGATAAACATGGCCTTTTTAATAGTAGCTGAAATATGCAATGAATGATTGTGAAGGTATTGAATGAATGGTTTAGCTGTAAATAATATGTCTTTTGTAAGGGAGTAGATATGGTAATATTAACTACAAAGACTGCAATG